AGCTAGTTTTACAAGTCACCTGGGTGAATGAGTATTTTTTAAGGGGGGAAAATCATCGAATGGCTTCTCTCGCCTGGGTGAGGCAAGAGGGAGTGCCAGACTCTTACAGACTCTCGCTGTTGTGGAAGACGGGGCACCCTGCGGACTCTCCGTCCGCGTACAGACCCATCGTGCTGTTTGACGAGAAAGGTAAAGTCATCGAAAGAATCATTTCGAATCGCCTCGTCACGCACCTGACGGACATTGGGCCGGACCTGTCGGACGGCCAGTTCGGCTCGCGAAGAGGGCGCTCCACGTTGGGTAAAAGAGTATGGGATGGGACATTTGTATCAATAAAAAGTGTTAAACATGGCAATCTACATACGTTACATGGTAGTTTACACAATTCAAACAAAAGAATGGCTATCCGGATTTTTATGATTTTTGGATCAAACGCAATCCTAGTTCGCATAAAAAATAAAAGGAAAACCGTACTACAAAAAAAACACAAAGATAATACAATATTTGCGAGGACATTGATAGTAAAAGATACAGATGTCTGTGAACTTTTCTTTAGATGTAGGTACGTTAAAGTAATATACTTATTCCCTAGACCTATTAGAGTAGTTGTTACCTAGCTTTGTAGCCTTGAATAGATCCTGGTGGAACTATTACAGGTACAAAGTTGGTACGTAACCATTATACCGTTATGCGGCCCAGGGCTATCATTTCAGAAATATTTTCTTCTTTCATATTTAGAATTCCTTTTAATGGTTAAAGTTCAACTAGTTGGTAACGAGATAGTTTTCTTTTTTTTTTTAGTTTTCAACGAAGGTCACGAAATGTAATGGGCAACGTTGTTTCTAGATTCAGGGACAGTACCTCGAAATAATGGTGGGATTTTACCTTTGATCTTAAACTAAACAAACATTCTCTACATCTCCTCTAAATACTATTTTTTGTTCTTATTTTTCCAGTATTTTTGTTGTCGAAGTAATGTACCTGGTGTAAGAAAATAAATTACGTTATGGGTCTTGCTCATGCTGCGTCATGCGGATTCTTTAGAAATTGTAATGTAATGTTGGATAAATTCCTAAATTTATTAAAATAAAATTAATTTTAAATAAACACAGGCCACTCTATATTTATAATTCTAAATTTCTCCTTCGTATTTCAATGTTTTGCCCAATGCTCTCGACTCCAATTTAATAATAATAATAATAATAAAGCCCGCAGGGCACCTTGAGGCGAGGTGACGGGCATTAGCGATCCCGCGGGCTACCATCATCCCGAGTGCTCCAGGGAGAAGTCACCGTTCCTTCTTCTCCGGCTTGCCTTAATTGGCTGGCTGGAGTGAAAAATGACAAGGAACAGGTCTCCCACCTCTGGCTTGCCTTCATTGGCCGTCCAGAGTGGAGTCGCGAGAGCAGTGATCCTGCTCGGAGGGTAAGAAACTATTCGTAAGTCGCGAGTGGGCCAGGGATGCAGGAGGCTTCGGCTGGAGCAGATGATCTGAGTAGAAAGCGGTGGTAGTTTCTTAACCCTTCAGCCACTCACATTCTCGTTGCCCCTCTGTTGCTATATCTAGCAACCATTCCCGGGGCCCGGTCGGTGAGTTGGCGAGTCTCCGCCTGCCATTTTTACGTGTAAAAATTACATTGTTTCGGCAGGTGCCATAGTCATCCATAGTTCCCAATTTACCAGTCCACAGCAACCCATCCATAGCCCTACCTTTTTTTTCCATTATTCACAATAGTTCTACACTAACCGGGGACTGTCCTTGGGTGCATTTCCATAGTGCATACAGGGATAGTCGCCGGTTTGTGTGTCCATTACATTTATATTAAAGTTGTCTAAAGGGCCTCTGCGCAGTTGGCTTCGGCCCCTCGTACGCCTCCCAAATGACCGGGACCCTGTGGTCCCGTGAATGGTAAAGACATACATAATAATAATAATAATAAAGCCTTTTATTCAGATTTACAAAAAAAAAAGGTTACAAAAAATTTAATATCGCTCACGAATTTGGTTTTTACTAATCTTTTGCAGATCCGTTTGCCAGTTGGCATAGGCCTCCTCCAACCTTCTCCATTCTGACCTTTCATTTGCCACTCTGAGCCATGTATTTCCAGCTACTTGGCGAATGTCCTCATCCCATCTTTTATTAGGTCTTCCTCTCAATCTATGACCTTCTCTTGGGTACCACTGAGTAACGATTTGGCTCCATTTTTCTTTGCCTCTTACCAAGTGACCTGCCCATTTCCACTTTAATCTCTTTATTATTAAAGTTACCTCTTGTACCTTGGTTTTGTGTCTGATGGATTTTTTCTTTATTCTGTCTGCTTTCTTTACACCTAACATGCTTCTTTCCATCGCATGTTGACATGAGGCGAGGTTTGTAGTCGTAAGTTTTGATAATGGCCAAGTTTGGCAACCATAAGTAAGTACAGGTAAGATGCATGTGTTAAATAGTTTAGTTTTTGTTGCTAAGTGTAGTTTGTTATCTTTCATTACCTCCTTCAAGCCCCAGTATCTCTTCCAGCTGTTTGCTACTCTTCTTTCAATTTCTTTATTAACTGTGTCTTTGGGTGACATCAATTGTCCAAGATATATATATTCTTGTGTATAGTCTATTTCTATGTCTTTTACCATTATGGTTCTTTTTTCTCCATTTGTCATTACTTTTGTTTTTTCTCTATTTAGGTGCAGGCCTACCTTAGCACTTTCTGATGACAATTCATTTAACATGTTGTTTAGGTCTTCCGGTGTTTTTGCGAATAAAACGATGTCATCAGCAAATCTTAAATGTGTTAACATTCTTCCATTAATGGATAATCCTACTTTGTCCCAACATAGGTTCCTGAAGACCATTTCTAACACAGCTGAGAACAGTTTCGGTGACAGTGGATCCCCCTGTCTTACACCTTTTTGTATGTCGAATTGGTTACCTTTCTGTTCCAATTGTATGCAAGCAGAGCTGTCTTTATATATATTTCTTATTATTCTTATTATTTTTCTTCAACGCCCTGTAATTTCAATGCTTCCCAAATCTTACAGTGTATTAATGAGTCAAACGCTTTGCTGTAGTCTATAAATGCGATATAATATGTTAGCTGGTATTCAGCATATTTTTCAAAAATTTGTCTCACAACATGTATATGATCTAGCACTGAGTAGTCCTTTCGGAAACCTGCTTGCTCGATGGGTTGTTGGTCATCTAGTTGTGTTTCTATTCTTTTGAGTATTATTTTAGCAAAAACTTTGTATAAGTTAGACATCAGACTAATGGGGCGGTAGTTTGCTATATCATTTGCATCTCCTTTTTTGAACAATAGAACTATATTTGATTTAGTCCATTGACTTGGTATTGTTTCTGTGTTTATGATGTCATTGAAGATATCCGACAGGACTGGGATAAGTGCTGACTTAGTGTGTTTCAGGATTTCGTTGCTTATTCCATCCGGGCCTGGTGACTTGTCTAGTTTTTGTGTGTCAATAGCAAATTCTATTTCTCTGTGCGTGATATTGGGTACTGCTGCGTTGTTCAAGAGGTCTATTTCTTTCTCGTGCATGCTGTTTCTATATAGATCTTTATAGTATGCTGTAGCAATTTCTAATATGTCAAGTCTCTCATTTTTCATTGATTTACATTTATCCTTCATTTTCACAATCCAATCTTTATTGCAACTGAGTTCCCTATAAGCCTTCTTGATTCCGCCAGTCTGTAGTATGTGTTTCTCTATTGTTTCCATTCTTCTTTGTATTCTGTCTTTTCTTATGCTTTCTTTTATTTCTTTACTTATTTTACTTATCTGTTGTCTTCTACTGTCTGAGGCTTTAGAGCTAATTAGGGTATTCCGTTGCTTGAAGAGGTCGATAGTTTTAGCTGACATACCGTTCTCTTTACGTTTATTACAGCTGAATTCTTTTATGGTGCTTTTGATTTTATTTTCCATCCAGTTATATTTTGTTTGTAAATCACTGCTGTATTCATTATTATAAGTTTTCAGCTTGGTTGATAGGGCATTAGTTATTTGTTCCATTTGATATTTGCTGGGTTTAGTGATGTCTAAATTAATTTTTGGCCTGGGTTTCTTCGGTGGAGTCAATTTTATTTCGGCTCTCACCATTCTATGGTCTGTGTTAAAATTTAGTCTACTAATGACATTTAGATTTGTGAAAAATTTGGTTTTATTGGTTAGAATGAAGTCAATTTCGTTTTTTGAGTTTCCACCTGGTGCAGCCCAGGTCCACATGTTTTTCCTATTTTTCTTATATATTGTGTTTAAAACTGTTAACTTGTTTTCCAAAGCGAAGTCTATAAGCTTTTTTCCATTTCTGCTTCTGTTTTTGTTGCTGTATGTGTAAGGTCCAATAGCTGGTCTTTCTTCTATGTGGGCTTCTCCTATTTGCCCGTTGAAATCCCCCATGACTATCACATTTTTCTGTGGATTGGATTGAATTGTTTTGTTTAGGTCTCGGTAGAAGGATTCGATTTCTTGAGTTGTTGCTTGTTCAGTAGGACAGTACACTTGAATAATAGTCCATGAATTATCGTATTCAGGAAATTTTATATTCAGTAATGCTATTCGTTCTGAAACTCCATGGAATCCTTGAATGGATTTGGCTAGATGTTTTTTTACCAAAAATCCCACGCCATATCTACCTGGAGTTTCTCCAATGTAGTATAATATAAAATCTGGGTGTGCCACGATATGTTCTCCCATTCTTCTCACCTCACTTAGGCCGAGAATATCCCAATTTACCGCTTTTAGTGCATGTGACAATTCTGTGAGGCTGTCGTCAGACCTCAAACTACGTACATTTAAAGTTGAGATGTATATTTTTAGAGAATTACGTTTCTGTTTATCATTACAATTATAATATGTTGCTTTAGTTGGAGGGTGGTGGTCTGACGTCCCGCGGTGACCAGCCGTATTGGGACCTGATGGTTTTAGTGGTTTTTCTTTTATTGTCTTGCTTTTATATATTTCGGTAGTAGTCCGGTTGCCGATATTTGGTTGCTATTGGTTATTTCCTGACAGAGTTGAAAAGGAGTTCGATCTATTTCTCATTATATCAAATGCATTTATTCTGTTTGTTTTTGAGGCTGTAATATTTTGTTGTTTTCTAGGTTGCAGGTTGAATTGTGGAGAAGTGGATGATTCTCGTTTTCTTTTTTCTTTATTCTGATTATTTTCTCTAACTACTAACTTATCAAACTTTAAATACGCTAGATTTCCCTTGTTCCTTTCTTCTTTTAGCTTAGGTAATAGGGCTTTTCTTTTTTCTAATACTTCTTTTGGATAATCTTCGGTGATGTATACTTCTTTCAATTTCTTTTTGTTAGCTAATATTTCAGCTTTCTTCATATGACTAACAAAGGAAAAAAGAATAGGTCTTGGTTTATCATTACTTTTCCCTTCCCCAATACGATGTACCTTATTGACGTCGCAATCTTCAATAACTAGTCGTGCGTCATGTTGGAAAACTTCTTTGATCTTCTTTAGTAGCTCTGAGGTTGAATTTTCCCCTTCTTTTAATCCAAATATCACTATGTTCTTACTTCTTTTCTCCCATTTCAACTGCTTCACTTCATTCTGTAGTTTTTCTACGGTTGTTTTCAATAATTTATTTTCTTCAATAATCGGCTGTAGTTTTTCTTCCATTCTACACATAATGGTGTTGGATATGGATTCTGTTAATTCAGCTGTTTGATTTTTAATTTCGATTTTCATTTTATCAAACAACATTTGAAATTGTTCTTCCATTATTTTTATAGTTATTTATTTCTTTTAATGTAAATATATATTTTTTATTTTTGCTTGAATCGGAACGTTGTTTTTCTCTGTTGTCAACCCCAGTAACCAAAGGTGACAGTTGTCAATGAATGATGTCTTTTGTGCCAAAAGACTGATATCTGTTTTGACAGTTGACACTTCTGACAGTTGACACTTCTGACTGTTGGCACTTCTGACAGTTCTTCTATTTGATTAATTTAACTATGGTATGGTATTTTAACTAACCTCAAAATGTTTGCCTTTGTTTTCGCCTTGTTAATTTGTTCTATTCCAGCAATTTTCGTGGATTTTATATGTTCACACTCTGCAGTGCACTTTTCTTCCTATTTTGAAGCGTATTATGTGTAGAATAGGGATCCCAAACTAATTTTTATTATAATATATTTACACTACAGTGAGTTGTATGTGTTGACACTACGAGCACCGGAACCGGAAAAAAAATCCAAATCCAAACCAATCCGACTCCAATTTAGGCAAATTAAATGCTTGGTCCAAATCTTCGGGGACCATTGTGCCTCTTAAAAAGCAAACAACGACATTTCTTGATACCCTCGTAGGCCATACATAATTAAGTGGGAATACAAACTTCAATTATTTGTTCGAGAACTTTCCGATTCGATGAATACTTTTAAAGGAATTCTGTTTAATAAATTATTTAATTTAAATATTCTACTTTCCTTATTGTTGCTGAGTTTCTGCGGTTAATGATGTGAGTGGTTTGTTTTGGTTGTGTATGAATATGTTCGAATTTGATCGGTACCTACTTGAGAAATTACGAAGAAAATGTTGGGTATGGAAAATTATAGTTAATAGGTAAATGTTTTTGAAGTTCGACCTGCACTATAATTATGATTCTATATTCACCGGCTTTGAGTAATGAAATACACAAGCATTTAGTGTTCATTGTGACTATTCTTACTAATAAAATAACCTACAAACAAAATGTCACGTACGCAACAATACTGATATTATATACCGCTAATTGCAATATATAAGTAACAAATATTGGAACAACACAAACCTAGGCATGTTCCCACGTAATTAACACGTACCAGGTTAAGCCAATATCGTACTTAATTACTCGATATAATACAATTACGACTGACGTTTCATGTACTGCGATAATATTTTCATCACACACCTCCCGGCAATGAGTCGAAAGCGATAAATTTTATCGATATCAAAACAAAATATTCGATGCTCGCTCCACTCGATATTTCATCAACCTGATTTTGATTCGGTACTAGTGTTGTCAATGCGATTTATTTGTGACATAGAACGTAACTTACTGTTAATCGGGTTGTCGAAAGTACAGATGTTCTGGCAGTAGCGATTGCAGTATTGATAAAAGACCTGGGAAAATCATTGTTAATTTGACTGATAAAATTGTAATAATGTACAATCAGGAGTTTTGATGATCTAACTAATCCCTAGCCTAGATTAGTGTTATAACACTTACTATTGGTTCCAAGATCCTATTCTACCATTAGTATGTATGTACATGTGTTTCTATCCCATTGAGGAATAAAAATTTTATCGATTCTAGTGCATCAAACGCGTATACGTGCATAAAACGTAATAAATACATCTGTGCTGCTCAATTTGTTGGCCAATCCCAAAGGATTGAAGTTCGAATCTGTTACAGTGCGATTGCAGACTGCAATGGTTTCGTTCTGATACAAATTGGTTTTTGTTGGACACGATTCGATTTAAAGAGTTACTGAGGAAGCGAGGACGGTATTTATTTCACCATCTTGCTTATAATTCTGCCTATGTGACTATTAGTTCGATCAAAAAACGTTTACGTTTTAGTTTAGGTTTTGAAAATAGTTATAGTGAGTAAATTGTCGTTTTTATTTTAAGTAGATGACGCTAATGATGCATAAGACTTTGTAAGCTATCAAAAATGTATCATGCTTTATAATGGGTGGCTTTTACAGACACTTTTAGTTGCAATAGAATCTTGTTGGTGGAAATAAAAGTCATTATTTTTATTCATTACTATTTTTAAATAACATGTAATCCATAGTAGTTTTGACAGCTTTTTTACACTAGATTATGGCTATTATAGAAAAAATCATGATTTTTTCTAGACTTCCAAGTAGAGTTATGTTGAACAATTCTTGGAACGGTGTTCTCATTTCATTAATTATAATATTGTACTTAATACGGAGGCTTAAGAGGGTCTTAAACTAAGGTGCCTTCGATGAGGCATAGCTTGGAGTTTCTTGCCTAATTATTATTCCTCACACGATTAATCTTAGTCTTACTTGTGTAGATTGATAATGTAATTAGATGCTTCTATGTATGATTGGGTTGTGAGTTATTGAATTATTTATTGTATTATCACATTTCATTTACTACTAAATACATTGGTTTATGTTTTTATAAAATGGTTGTTTTATATAGGTATTAATAAAAATTAGCTTACCTCCATTCTTCCAGCTTATTTCCTTTTTCGCGTTTTCTCAACGTCCTAGATGTTTAAGCGCACCTCTCACTACTCATGCATTTTATTCACAAATAATAGGTGTACTTTGTAAATCAATCTTGTCATATACATACATAACATCCCGCCTTCTACCCCGAAGAGTTAGGAAGAGGTACACGTATTTACGGCACTTAATGCTACTTTACAATGTAACACCCACTTTCCACTATTTATGTTATGAGTTCCATGTAATAGGGGGTGAGCCTATAGCTATATTCAGGGCACAATTTCAGACTCCGTGCTACTACTGATAATTTTAAAACAACCCAGTAATACTTTGCCCGATCCGGGGTTCGAACCCTGAACGTTGCCTGGGAGTCGCACTTCCGAACACTCGGCCAACGTGGCAGTCATACCTTTATATATTACGTCGAAATTGTCTACGAAGCGTGAAATTTATGGCAAACCTATCTTATTTCATGAAATGCCTAAGTCATGTCAAAGGGCCATAGTGCACCAGTGGACTATCAAAAGCTGTTGATGATGACGTCAAAATCAATACAATAAACAACAAAAGGTCGTTTTAATTATAAAACGTAACACGTTCACTTTATTTTCGTTCACCGACGATTCTCATATTTGTTCACTGAAACCCATAAATCTTATTTAAGTCCTTGGTAATAATAACGTTCTATTTACCTGCTTTCACATAAATAACAGTTTAAAACGTTACTCCAAATATTCTAACAAACGTTATTTAGAACGAAATTGTTCAATACATTTTGAACCTAATGAGCATAAAAATACTTGGAAATTCTATAAATATCGATTTTATAACGGGTCGTTAACCAAATAACTAGTCGATGTTCGTAAGTAGCTCGGTAAAACCTATTATAGTGAGTTAACAGTTGTTTGGCTTGCCTTGAGATGTATTAGTCAGAGATTTATAAAATACTAGTGAGTAGTATTTAGTAGTATGTATATATGTGTTCAAACTGTTATTGGATATAATAACATAAATAAATTAGGATGAGAAGGGGGAGCTAGGACTAGTGAGAAATTCAATTTCAATAATCATTGAATTTTTTGTGAAAAATACCTAATCCATCAATAATTATTAAAACCAAGGACAACAAATAAACACTATAAAGTTATTCAATTTCAAATCTTAAGTCGTTTCAATTAAAATTGTAATTAAATGGAAAGAAACTTCAAACTTGAATGTAACTTTAAACTGTTCAAAGGCTTCGGTTCAGACAGAACAGAAACCAGGTACAAATTACTGAAAACTTAAAATTTAAACTAGAAAGCAATTTAATACAGTACTGAAAGTCTTGTAGCGACACGAAATCATGAAACAACTTTATAGAGAAATTACTCAAGTGCTAAAATGTATAAATAATTTATTTGACGAAACCAAAACAGTAATGAACTTGAAATATTATGAATGCGAAAGTTTGATTAAATATTTAGATTCAACGCTCCATAATAATTATCAATTTGCACGTCAATTTGTTTTGAATAAAGACTGAACGGGGTTAATTGAAAACAAATTGAAAGAGTTCTTTTGCACCTGTTTTGGGAGTTTTGTAACTGTTTATTTAATATTTTTAAATAACATTTTCATTCAACATAAGTAAAAGTTTTGAATATGATTTCAATACCATTTGTTGAATCTGTGCTTTTATTGTAGCGCTACATTGATTCCGGGGTCAAAAAATGAACACCCTAAAACAAATACTCTATAATTTCAATCCATACTTACAATTGAAACATAGTCTGAACCTCAAACGAGTCGACGTTACCCTAATAATAGGAACCAATAAATTCAAAACGGAGTCAGTGCAGAAACCCACAATGGAACTCGGCTATCCATCTTGCAAAACATTTTGACGTTTATACGGACCTTGTCAACAATTTCACGCCCCTTCCTGTCAATCAGTCAACTCTAAATTCATGGAACCTACTAACTAATTTTCGCATCTATTCAAGCAAATATAAAGGGTCATTAATTTCAAATACGGCGAATAGTAACCCTTCTATTGGTATTTTATGAGGTAGTTCTAAATGACAGTAACTCAGTGTTGTAAGTTTATAGGATATACCAGATCAAATAGCGGTTGCTGAATTATTGACAATGAATAATAAATCCACACCTTTGTTGCTTCTTGTAGATGGAAAAATTCTTACAACTATGTAGCGACTCAGTTTTAGATTTCGAATACTACAAGAAATTTGATCTGTTGAATAATAATTTTGAGTTCAACTAACATTGAAATCAATAGCGAAACATTATTTTCCGTAGATGAACGTGAGAGGTTCACGCTACATCATTTGTAACATTGGCTCACAAGTCATGTTGTATAAAAATACGGTTCCAAACAATACTGTAATACGTCATATTGTTGCAAGAATGATAAAAAGAGCTCGTTTTCACACGCCCCGTATACTGGTGCTCGCATTAAATAGTATGAGAGCTATTAGCCATGGCTGTGAGCTAACTCGTCATAATAAACCAACATTGTCACACACTATGTTT